TTTTTTTAAATAAAATAAACCAGTACTTGAGTTTAACTATAAAAAAAGGAGACGCACTCCACTTTTCTACGATTCCACTCCACTTCTCTTTTTTCTTTAAAGCAAGTGACAAAAAAATTCATAAACTCATATATATTATTGTTGGGATTTATATGCCCTGGCATAGCAAATTCCTGTTTGGATTAAAGTGACATATGTTCCTGACGTTTATGAAATATTTATGTTTTATACAATTGGTGAATTCAATGTATTATATTTCGATTCATTATAGAATTGATAGTGTCCGTTTGATTACAAGAGATATTTATATATATGTTTGTGATGGCAATCAATACATGATATATAAATAGTAATCATAAATGGTTCATAGTCGGTAATTATGGATGGACTCATAATTAATTAAGATTTGAACTGGATCCGCGTTAGGTTGAGATATATTGCGAGAGCTGTCGTATGCAATTGCTCCCTATCACCGTCATGGCATTTGACTCTTAAGTATGAGAAAATTATAGACTCTTTTATTAATTAATAATTACTTTGATTTGTTCGGCGGATTCTTTGGGATCCTTAGACCGACACTTTGGGTAGTTATATAATTAATAATTAGATGGTTATATTTTCAATATTTGCATCATTGTTACTTGTATTTATTTTGTATTGATTATGGTTGATCACAAAATAAATTCGAAGGCCTTCGTGTGTTTTTAGACAAAATGATTTATTATATATTTATTTATTTAAATTATTATTTTTGTCAAACAAATGTCGAGCCAGAAATAATCAGAGGTACCAAAATAGATATATTAATTAAGTAGTCGGATTGATGGCTTTATTTATCCGATAACTAATTATGCATAGAGGGGTCAAAGTGCAATATTGACTTAGAGGTTATTTATTATTTAATTGGAGTTCAATTAATTTCTTTTAGTGGAGTAGAAATTAATTTATGAATTAATTGAATTGGATCCATGGACCGGGCCAATTATTAATTCATTGTAACCAATAAAATAATAGGCCCAATGGATTCTCACTCATAGCCCAACTTGATATTGGAATCATATTAGATTTGAGACATATGAATTAGAGATTGAGAAGGATTTGTTGTTTCTTTTTCTTTATTTTTATGTTGCCTATAAATATACGTGGTCTATGTATATTTTAGGGTGTGATTTTTATGAGAAGGAAAAAAGAATATTTTTTCTCTCTCTAGAAAATTAGGGTTTATGTTCTCATCTAATGGAGGCTCCCACAAGCCTAGTTTTCCAAGGTCATTCATGGAGGCTTATGAGTGATTCCTAAAGGCAAGACCATTACCAAGAAGATGGAGATTCATGAAAAAGATGTCTAGCAAAAGGGATCTACAATAAGTGAAAACATTCACTTTAGAGGAGAGACCTAAGGTTTATTCAAACCTTGATGTAAGTATTCAATCTTTTAATTGAATGATACATCATATTTTATTTTTGCATAAAACTTGTCTCTATGTGATGGATCAAGATCTATGAATCAAAATCCCTCAAAAAGTTTTTAAAACTAGCACGTTTCCCAACAATTATTCCTTAATTTATAATACATAACTGTGTTGTAAATTTTTTTTTTTTTTTTGTCCCCCAAGAATTGCGTGTGAGATTATAATAAAAGAGAGGAGAAGTGAAAGGAGAGAGATGTTGACGGGTCACTTTAATAATTTACTTTTTTTATGTCACTTTGGTTTCTATTATAATTCTCTATTTTTATTTTTTATTCTGAATTTGATTCTTAGGCAGTGGCTATGTGGCTATAAAATTTAATATCTTCTAAATTGAATGAATGAAAAAAAGATATAAAATCATTTCTCGTAGTTTTGATGTATAAACTACTCCTTTTAGTATTAACAAATAAATTTTTTTCAAAATTTCAAGAGATACACTTTTTTTTCTTTCTTTCTGAATTTAATATACACTTTTTTTTCTTTCTTTCTGAATTTAATACTACTTCTAGTATCAATTTTCTAAGATTATATAATTAGGTCAGTCCACTCATTCCATGAATTCTTAAAAATCACATAACGAGGACTTGGATTCTCTAAATTAAAATTCTTCTAAATTATCTTAAGTTAAAATTTTCACATAATGACATGTGTCATTAAGATGTATCTACGACTTATATTAAACCAAATCAACTAATTTAATAAAATTTAGAAAATTACACCGTTTTAAGATAAAAAAAATTTACAAGACGTAAACATTTCTCTCCTATAAGATCTCTCCTCTTTTCTCTAAAAAAAGATTGCTGCCTCTCTCTCTTTTCTGAAATAATAGTATTGGCTTGAATGAAGAAGGTGATTTGATTAAAAAAACTTGAATAGTAGATTTTCAATTAGTATACAATGTTTGATTAGAGAATTTTGTAAAATTTATAAAAAAAATTCACATTTACTCAGAAAAATAAAATATATATTTGTAGAATTTAAGTTTTGAGCATAGTTTGCCATGATATCAATATAAAAGAAACGTTCTTCATTATTTAGAAATATTAAATCTTTAGTTGGTAATAACTAGATGCATTTTTAGAAATGGTTAAAGTATTTTAAAGTTTTTATATCTTAAAAAAGTACAGTTTTCTAACTTTTATTAAATTAGCTAGAGTGATTTAACATAAGTTATAGATATATCTTAAAAGACACATATTATTCGGTAAAAAATTCAATTTAAGATAATTTAGAAGAGTTTTAATTTAGAGAATACAAGCCCAAAGAAAAAATTACAACCATTAACTGGGGTCATGTCTCGGCCTAATCTGGTATGGAGCGCCATGTTGTGGGCCTAGATATTCTCAATAAAGGCCCATTGGTGCAGGCCACCTGTGGGTCCCACCCAGGATTGTTTCGACGTCTTTTGTTTCTTTTTTTCATTTTACTTCATTGTGATGTTGAGATTTTATAATTTTACAAGGACCTTGTGATGTGGATAACCGTTGGTTTTGTTAGGTGGCCAATTCTATTTGTGTAGGATAAAAGCTGCTCTATTATATTTAGAGCCTGGGGTTGCTGTTGTAATTATATATATATTAATAGAGCAATCATGTTAAGTATTTGGTGACACATTATAATAAGTATTTTTTACGATTAAATTATTTTTCAATTCATTTGATAATAAAAATTTTTAAACACTTGTATAGCTAATTTTTATAATAATATCCTTTAATGTGACGTTGTCATATTTGATAATAGTAACTTTATTAAAGATGTCATAAAAATGACAAAAAATTTAATGAAAAAGAGTTATGTAAAATATTTAACTCTTATGCAGAAAAGTTCTAAATTCTAACTTTATTTGGTATTCAAAACTAAATTTCGTAATCATTAAGAACCTTATAACCATTAAAAACTCTTATTCTAACACTCTATTGAACTAAATTTGGTAATCATTAAAAGTTAAATACGAGTAGAGAAAGCAATTCTAAACAGACTCTTTAACAATTCAACTTCTATTCAGAACGCAGTCTTGAAAATTTCAAATGGTAACTTCGTTCAAATGCTTTACTAAATTAAATTTGGTAATCATTAAAAACGTTAACCATTAAATTTGGTAATCATAAAAAATGCTAACCAGTATAGGCGCAAACATTTATAATGGTTACCAAACATATGTAATTTATAATGATTACCAAATATATCTAAATGTAATTTTTCCTTTCAAACAGTAGAGAAAACAATCCTAAACGAACGGGCCCTTAGACCTAGTCATGGCATTGATTAATTCACTTTAAATAGGGCCAAACTAATCTATTTTTAAATCATTTTTAAAGAAATATAAAGCTTGGGTTGGCCCAAAGTTGTGAATGGGCTACCATGTTTATGTTACAAATTTCAATGATCACTGCACAAACCTTTTTTTTTTTTTTAATTGCGGGTTTAATCAGAAAAAATTCATGATACAGTTAAGTCCCATGGGGAGCTGACTTGCATTGTTAATCTTTGGACTATTCAGTAGTGAGCAATGTTTAGGTCTTTGTTAGTGAGGATGTATTGATGTGAACTAATAATAAATATACATATCATTTTTAATTACTAAATTTAATATGATGCGTAAATATCCACTTACTAAATCACAGAAATGGTAATTTATTATTGGTTCACATTATTAATGATAATGGTGTAAATTCTTACTAAATCACAGAAATGGTAATTTATTATTGGTTCACATTACTAATGATAATGGTGTAAATTCTCACTAATGAGGACCTAAATATTGTTTTTCAGTAAATTCATCATAAAACAAAAAATAGGTTTAAACCATTCCAAAACCTTTGTAAAATTTATTTAAGGTCCGAAAAATAATAGAATAGTAGTAATCACTGGAACAGGAGAGAGAGAGACAGAGAGTACTAATTCACCCTCCTGTTTGGATAACCAACACCCAATGCTCAAAATATATATTTATAAATAAATAAAGAAACAAAAGTAAATAATACATCGTTCAACGTTATGTTTATTATCTTGACCTAGACACGAATAGATCATTAACGTTTATTATCTTGCCCCTTTAAATTTGGTGTCTGTACTTCATAATATTTCTATCAATTATTTTTATAAAATATATTTTCTCTGTCCCTATTTAGATGTCATTTTTGGAAAATATGAATTTTTAAGAAAATAAAACATATCTTGTCTCTTTGAAAAATTATTAATTTGTCCTTTTAAGTTTTAAATATTGAAATTTAAAATTTTAAACTCTAAAAATATATATAGAAAGATATAAAATATATTGTTTGAAAAAGAAAAGTAATAACTACTTTGAAACAAATTGAAAAAAAAAATTAAAAATAAAAATGACATTTTTTTTTTTTTTTTTTTTTTTTTTTTTTTTTTTTTGAGATAGTAGGAGTAATATAATATCTTATTATAATATCACAATATTATTGACCTTTTACACTCGTAATACTTTCAAATGCCCTGCAAGTGAGACACAGGCACTGTCTTGATATTTAAAATTGTAAAATTTCGTGTGGACCCAATTCACTACCCTCTTTAAGCAAAGGATAAAGCGAAAAGAAATTCCTGAATCCTCGTGGAAACGCAACACTCCCACAAACAAAATTCTGCAAACCCATCTCCAAATCCAAAGTTTCCTCCTCTAATGGCGACACCAGTCAAAGTGTACGGCCCACCCCTCTCCACCGCTGTCTCGAGGGTCTTGGCCTGTCTCCTTGAGAAAGATGTTGACTATCAACTCATCACTGTCAACATGTCCAAAGGTGAACACAAGAAACCTGATTACCTCAAAATCCAGGTACACACAATCAACATTAATATATCCATATATATATATATATATACACACACACTGACACATACATATCTTTGTTATATTATCTGGTAATCCCATTAATTACATATCGTCTCTGTTAATCTTGATTCTGAACAGCCATTTGCTCAAGTACCAGCCTTTCAGGACGAAAGCATCTCTCTCTTTGGTAATTGCTTTTCAATTTCCTTCCACCAAAATTCAACCCTTTGCATTTCTCCTAACTATCATTAATTCGTGAAAAAACATTTATGCTATCTTCGATTGCATGGAATGAGATTTGTGGCTTGAAATTGAAACTAAAAAAAAATTACATTAAAGTTTTAACTAAATTTTCTCCCGATTCAAATACGAGGCATAAATTTTATGCAACGGAATATAATTTTAGAGTCCAATAGTGAACAATTTTGACTATTTTTAGTCAAGTGAGTGTGAACAATTTTGACTTTTTTTAGTCAACTGAGTGGCCTCATTCCTAGATTCTTGACTATTTTGATGTGAATAGGGCCACGTCGGAGTTGTTCAAACTGGTCGGTTCGGTATCATGACACTTAATTAATTCATTCATGTGTTTGATGGTACCAGAGTCCAGAGCCATATGTAGATACATAACAGACAAGTACCCAAACAAAGGAAACAAGGGTCTGTACGGGACGAACCCATTAGAGAAGGCTTCCATTGATCAATGGTTAGAGGCCGAAGGGCAGAGTTTCAACCCTCCGAGCTCAGCTCTGGTGTTTCAGCTGGCGTTTGCGCCGCGAATGAAGATCAAGCCAGATGAAAGGCTGATCAAGCAGAGTGAAGAGAAGCTGGCAAAGGTGCTCGACGTGTACGAGAAGAGGCTTGGTGAGAGTCGGTACTTGGCCGGTGACGAGTTCAGTCTGGCTGATCTCTCTCACCTGCCCAATGCCCACTACTTAGTGAAGGCAACAGATAGAGGAGAGCTCTTCACTTCGAGGAAGAATGTGGGGAGGTGGTGGGACGAGATTTCGAATCGAGAATCATGGAAGAAGGTGGTTGAAATGCAGAACTCACCGCCCCGTTAAGAGTGCTTGAATTGGGTTGGCTTGAATTGGGTTGGCATTGCTTTCCCATTGTTGAATTTTGTGACTAGTTTTGCCACTGGTTCTGTATTTCTGTTGTTGTTGTGTTGCTTCAAATGACTTCCACAGTTCTGATATAAATGTCTTGGTTGATTTCAGTTCCCAATTTAGCTTGCTTGGTGTAACATTAATTTTCTGTTGAGTATTAGATAATGACATCGTTCTGAGGCTTGAATTGGGTTGGTGTTGCTTCATTGGTGTGTTGTTGCCTCTAGGTAGACTCTTCATATGCATCACCTATTGACAACCACACTTTAAAAATGATGAAAGCATCATTTTTTTTATAAAAAAAAGTTAATACAGTTGATTTTTAACAAAATTCTTTAATTAGTGCAACGATGTATCACAAAATGAATGGGTATGTAAATCACATTTCTACCAATTCATCATCCATGATGGTAGGTTTGGAAGAGCAGAACAATGATTACATTGCTGTCCTCGGCTTGACATTTTCACAAACAGATACCGTGTGTCCCAAATGCCAGTCCATCTGCACATTGTGCCTGTTGTCAATGAATTTAGGGTATCCGTACCGCGGGGCATTAAATTTAGGAAGTGAGGTTGCAAACTTGCAACAGACAAGGCTTCTGGTGTTAATAAATTGAAGCGCCAATTCGGTGCTCCAAAGGCAACAAAAAAATCTATTTCAAAGAACTATAAAGAAATAAATAGATGATAAAATATCATCTAGAATTGGATTTTTATATTCTTTTCGGATAACAAATTTCAAAAAGCATTACTCAAACAAAATTTCACACAATTTTAGATTTTTTTTTTTTAAATTTTATTTTATCAAGAGCTATTTTCAGAAACATGACTAAGAAGGCCTGATTGCCTTGACACTCTTTTGGGCGAAGCATGTTGCCAATATGTCACGGAGTGCTGAGCCTCACAAAGCCCTGATTCGGCATTTGTGTTCATTTAACCCTGTCCCTCGTAATCAATCAACAGCAAAATGTTCGTGCCAAAAGGGAAGGAATAAAAACACAAGAATATAAAATTCACCGTCATCGTCCCAGAATTCACTCTAATGTTAATCTCCCTCAATTGAGGATGCTGCAAGGGACAATGCAGAGTTCAGACCTAAAATTTGACATCATTTCGACATAAAGTGACCCACCTGAGATTGAAAGACACACCTCATGTTTGAGGTCCCAAATTTTACCAATGTATACAAAATACAATACATGTGTACTACAGATTCTGTTTTTTAACATTGTACATGCACATTATACATGTCTATAGATTCTGGGAACAAAAAGAAACCTTTCTTTTGTTGGTCACCCTACTTGAGCTCAATAGTCAGCTACCATAGCATCATTGGGCTGCTTCAGCTGCATTCTCTCTTTGTATTCTTTCATTTCTCTCTGGTATCTTTCTTTGTCCTTCAAACCGTAGTCCTGGTAAACCTATACATACAAACAAGTCTGTCAACAATTTCAAAATGCTTTAAAGTATATACCCTTTCTTTCATTCTGCTAATTCATGTATTTAGCGTGCATCATAATTGCACTCATGCTAGTATATTATCTGTTTGATTGTCATATTAAGCACAATATCATCAGTATATATATCACATAAATCGATATCTAGCATAGCCAAGGGCAAGCGCCAACATGACCATGTTTACTTGAATATCGTTTTTCCTACTCCTGCACCACCTTTTAACCAAACTAAAACAGATTCATATGCCAAATATCTTTTTAACTTAAAAACATATTAAATCACATCAGTTAGATCTCAAAATACAGAACAAAATCCTCTCTAGTTCCAGTTCCATCAAGTTAGCGATGCAACCTACAAAAAAGTTGTGAAATGGGATAAAAATCACAACGTTTTTGTAGGGTGCTGTAACAACCTACTCCACCACATGGTATGATATTGTCCACTTTGGGCTTAAGCTCGCATGGTTTTTCGATGACACACTTACATATAAGCACTTCATCTTTTCTTTACCCAGGCCATATGAGACTGTGCACCCGTAGCTCGCCAATGTAGTAGCTTGTCAGTGTCTCTCGCACCCGCCCACGACACACCCGCCCACAAGGTCATCACAGGTGCTTCCCTAACTTGATGGAACCGGACTACTGTTCTACAGGAGAGAATTTTGGTCCTCAAAATACTAAGTTCTATTTTTAGCCTCCCAGGTACCATGTGTGGACGCTATTCAAGTTTGTGTCTTAATGCTTGCCAATGATGTCCACATCATACAATTGCTCAATGAACATTTTAGTACTCAAATATTGGTTTTCTCTAATAGAATTGCCTATAGCAAACCACATTATAATTTAAAGAGCACTGCTGTAATGAGGCCACCCACGGTGAGCTCTCACCCTCATAACCATTGGATCTAGTGGCTAATGACGTCGTCAGTCACATGATCCAACGATGATGAGGGCGCGAGCTCATTGAGGGTACCAAAATCACAAAAAATTTCATTTCAAATTTAAAATACGATTATAGTAAAAACAAATAGAGAGAATTTTGTTAAAATACTTACCATTCTCTCTTCTAGGCTAAGATTGCTCCAAGACTCTCCAATCATCTTGGTGAACTCCCTTTCTCGATCTGGGTAAAGAGATTTGAACACAGAATGCTTTTCAGCAAAGAAGAAATTGTAGCCACTTCTATTGGGTTTCGGGCGGCTGGGATCCCCTCCCCTTCTTCTTCTATTCCTTCGACCAGAATGATGAGGCACGGGCTTGGGGTTGTACGGAATAATAGCAGTGCAAGGCTGGACAGCCGACATAGAAGAGCTAGGCTGCTCTGGGTGATAGAGTACTCCATTGAGAATCTTGGAACCCAATTTCACAGACACCAAATAACCACAGTCGAATTTCCCATCAATAGTTCCAACAGCTTCAAAACATAGAGGGTCTAGCATGGAAAAAGAGAAAGGAAAACATGATTTAGTAGAACATGCTATGTTGCAAATCCTAAAATAGTTCTGCTTAATCTGTATAATTCATAGATCAGGAAAATGAAAATTTGAAGCTCGAAATATTATACAAGTTTAATGAAAAGTTTTTAACTTTTTGAGGTTGGAATAAAAAATTAAAATGCCTTCGAATCCATGCAACTATTTAAATTTTGATATCCTAGACAAAGGCCAAGGATATAAGCTTTGCACCCTAAACATGAAACCAAATTTAATTTCGAATTCCATACCAAATTGGAATGCTGCATCTACTAGTGAGCTGCTCCACTAGAAGGTAAAAACAAATTTTCATTCTAGACTCCATTTCTCTAATGGAGATCTTTGAAGATAGAATCCTCTTTTGCTATACACAAACTATCCCCTCCATCCCATACACTTGGGCATACACTTAATGCAGAAAACTATGAGTCGATCTCATTTCAAAAAGCCAAAACTCTAAAAGGCAAATGTGTTAAAATACACGTGTTTCTAACATTGTAAAAGAGATCAAGTTGCTAGCTGGAAAAAAGAGTGTCAAATTTCAATTTGTACGAGCATCAATATCACTATAACCATTTACGACATATTTTATGTCCTGGTAAACGAGCTTTATCTGATGGAGAAGCAGGACAGGGCATTCTCATGTCAGCCTTAACCAATAAACACATGCTTGGAAGCACTATATTGATAGTTGGATAGCTGGTTCAATTGGTAGATAGTTTCGCCAGGACAATGTTTGCAACTGGAAATTCAATTTACTAACCTTTATCAAGCAAGAATTTACCGAAGTTAATATGAGTTTCTGAGCTGCCATTAAGTCAAGCTAAACTTAGAATCAAAATAACACGAATGAAAAAGGCCAATGTCCGGTATCAGCTCACTTTTAAGCAAGATGGCCTGATGGGTGGATTGGATACACATCTAACCATTGGACTTCACTATTGGTGGATCAAGTAAGCAACTATACAAAAATTAAGAGGCACAATATTTCTTGCTTAAACATTTCGTGAATTTAACGATTTTCTTTTGTTATGAAAATAAAATATTGGACTGATTTAGGAGCTTGTTAGAGAAAAATGGCATATAAAACATAAGTTACACAAAAATTGCAGAGGCAACAGTGACAAAATTTGGTAATTAGTGGACCCAAGAAAAGTGAAAAAGGTGATAAAACAAACACATATCTACATGCACATCAAGTTACAACTTGCACAACATCAAGAAGGAAAGTGCTTCTACAGCTGAAGAAATTAACTGAAACAGAGGGCCAAAACCATCGCATCCCTCCAAGGCATCGGAAACCATGAGTAGGTCCCATGGGTCTCACTACATCGGAGGGCCACGACGACTTCAGTCCTCCACTTCAGTTGGTTGCTTTGGCAAGTGGCCACAATAGCACGACTCTTATCAACATATTCTATTTGAGGCCCAAGGAAATGAACATAACATTTGTGGTAGAGAAATAAAAACAAATATCTGTAATTTGTGGCTCATGTTTTCTTTTATCATCTTACACTTCCAAGAACAAGATACACTCTCATATAGACCTTTGAGACAAAAACCCTTTTCATTTATAGGACTATTCTATGAGATGGGGCCTTTTGGGTCCACATGAAAATCTAACAGGATGTGCAAGAAGAGTAAAAAGACCCATGGAACAAGAGAACATAGTAACAAAAAACCATGCAATATCCAAATCAATCAACAGAGTACTCTTTAAAAAGAAAAGCAAAAGCAGAGTAAAAGTCATTCAATAAAGGAAGAAATCAAGAGATCAACTTTTATACCTGTTGAGGTAAGCAGGGGACCTTGTAGCCTAAAGAAGTAAACATGTTCATAATGATGAAGAAGACTAGAGTAGTGTTTCTTCAATGCATAGGAAGCACTTGTTGTTGTTGGAGAGAAATTGAAAACAGAACTCACTTCCCTCCATTTCTTCTCCAAAATAACCTGCCCATTTAAGTTTAATTTTTCACAAAAAAAAAAAGATATAAAAAATAAACAAACAAGTTAATTTCTTTGAAATTAAAGGTAATAAAGTATTAGATTTGAACCTTGTCATAACCACCCCTCTTGGTAACCTCCACATATAAAGCATGTAAATTTAACTCCTTCCCTCCAATCACAGGAACCCTTACAATAAACAAAAACTTGAAAGATTAAAAAACACATACATGCGCGCGCACAAATAAAAAAATTAATTTAGGTTATCTAATCAATGAAAAAAAAACACACACACACACAGAGGAAAAGGGTTTACATAAATTTGGTACCCAACACAGAGTGGAAGTTACGGAGAGTGTCCCAGAAGAGTTTAGGGTCCTTGACAACGTCCTCGTGTGAGGCAAGGGGCTCAGGATAACGTTTATCCTCCACCTCATTCTGGACGGAGATGATCGCCATCGACGACATTGTCTCACCAGAGACTTCCAGAGGCCGCCGGGAAATCGGAGAAGAAATGTGGAGAGAGAAAGTGATGGAGATAGATAGATGTAATAATGGTGATAAAGAAGTGATTCCAGATAAGCTTGTAATTAAGGAAAGTAAGTCGGACCAAAGCCAAAATTAAAAGAAGAAGGTGGACAACGGTTATACAAAGTTTGGCTTTTTCTGAACAGTAGTCTCCGGTTTCATAAACGAAAACACTCTATGAGTGGTCAAAAATACTGAGCAGAAGTGACTAATGGTTTACTAGTAATATTTAATTTTCACAGACTTTGAGCTTCATAATTACCAACCTCTCTCCTCACTATAGCTGTCTGTTTTGTACTTCAAAGCTGACACAACATCTCTTCTCTCTCCTTTCACATTTAAACGTTACATGCACTTAACCAGTATAGTAATAGACCCGTAGGGAGACATAATAGGGTAGAGTAGACTCTGATTATATCTTGTTGTACAGTAGATTGATATCTATATATGGTGCCTTTTTACGGCTACTATATGGTGTGCGGCTAAAAAAAATTTGATATTTGATAAATAAACGTGAATAAAGTTTTTCATACCCAAATAAAGTTGAAAAAACATAGATATTTTGTGTTGCAAGTGTTTTGTAAGATATCAATTCAGCCTTTCATATTTCACCTTGATTGTGTGGTATGGATGATTGGACATCCACTAACATTAATATGAAATGCTTAAGAGAATAAGGTAAATTGAGAAAAAAAAAATTTCTCTCTAATTTATTGACAAATTCATATGTTCCATTACACAAAGAAATAATTTATGTTCCCCTGTTTATAATTGAAAGATACATTTCAGATATATTATCTCTTCTCTAAATATATTTTTTTTCTTTTCAACTTTCTCTAAAAATACTAACAAGAAAGGTTACTACTTACTTCTAGAAATATTATGTTTTTTAAAAATATATATATTTTGGTCTTTTCTAAAAAGACATATTTGTTAAAATAATTTGTGTTTCCTTATATGCCTTTCTTTTTCTCAAATATTATATTTGTTGTGAATAGACAAATTTTAGAACTTAAATATCAACGACTTAAAAGGCATATAATCTTTCAATAATTAATTTTAAAATATATTATATATATTTCTAGCATCATATGACATGATGTGGAAGTGGGTATGGACTGAGCTTTTATTCGGCTAATTCAGGCTATAGCCCAGATCCAATTTTTTTAAAAAAATTAGTACTACTACTTTTATCAGCCTAGTTTATATATAATTAATTTTTAGTACTACTCTTTATCTTCCTATCAGCCCAATCCAACCTAATTCATAGTACTACTCTTCTTCTTCTTCCTATCAACCCAATCCATATGTGATATGTAATCAATTTTTACTACTCTCCAACCACTTCCTCTCAACACGCGGTGGTATTTTTCTTCATGGGGTTTGGTAGGTTTTGGGTTCTAGCAAGAAAATTGCAAAGACTTGAGAGGGAGTCCAATTTCTCATCTTTTTGAACTAATATATATATATATATATATATATATATATATATATATAATCAATGAAGAGAATACGTAGAAGAAGAATGATCTCTCTAACATCAGAAAACTCTATTTTCAAGTTATTTTTAATTTTTATCCTCTGAAAAACTTGATTTGATATATGAAAACATTTTTTTGGGTCTATTTTTGAATATATATAACATATCTTTATCATAAAAATTATTATGTTTATATTCAAAAAAATTTATTATCTTTAGTCCCCCATACTTTGCAATCCTAACTCCACCCTGAAAGTGGGAATTGGGAAGTGCATGGCTCCTCAATCCCTTGTACAATAATTTTTGGAATTTCTTTTGTAACATATTATTTAAATAAAAATGTATTTTTATTTATAACAAAATGATATGACATTGATCCCAATGAACGAAACCATTTCTACTGAAAAGTTATGTATGTATATTTTGCTTATATAAAGGCAAAAATTGATGTTTGTGGGATACTATCTGGATCTTCAATAGCAAAAAAATCAATACCATCATCCTCTTCTCCATCCATGCTTTATTTTAGTAAGAGGATACTTATCCCTAAATATAATTTGTATTTTTTTAACCTACGCATTTATAGGTCTCAGTTTTACGTGTTTAAACCATTTAACACAATCATTTTTTATTTTTTGTTGTTGATAGGTGTCACTCATAATTTTTTCTCTTACAATTTCATTCATAACCATATCCATTCTAACCACCCCAACAATTCACCTTAACATTCTTAATTTCGTAATATATATATGTGTGTGTGCGTGCGCGTGCACATTATTTTTTATTTTTTCATTTAATTTTTTTAAGTCCAACACTCCACTCCTAGCGTGTCAATGCTGCTCGAGGGTGCAATTAGATTAGGTTGGACATGTTGGGATTAACTCTTATAATCTTTCTATAAGAGGCTCTCAAGTTTCCCGCTCAAATTGGCGTTTGTTATTAAATGCATTTTTAATATGTGAATTCAATTTTGTCAATTCTTTTATTCGACTTGTAAATGAAAATGATTCTTGCACCAAATAGTTACAGTGAATTGGTAGACCTACTCTTTTAATTGGTCAATTATGTAACAAATAAAGAAGTAGAGTCCTCCACTTGTATTTGGTATAAATAACCAATTAAAAATTATTCAGCTAGGCTTATAGGCCCTCTAGCTAGAGTAAGACCAGGGGATGTTGGTGTGTCGTCAACCCAATCCAAAGTTTGTGCACCAAAAGATAGTGGTGTAGGGCTATGATGAATGTGGCCAAGTTTTACATTTAGAAATTGTCACTACTACCTTTCACTAAAAATATAGTTAGGGCGAGTAGGGATCGTCCCAAGGGATTGGTGGGTCGTATTAGGTTGTGGAATCGAGATTATGGTTAATAGGTCGAGTGATCAAAAGATTGGTTGGTGGTTTAATTACACTAAGATGCAATTTATACTAAAGTAAACAACTAAATGTAATAGGGAGAAAATAAGAGAGAGAAAGATCTTGGGGTTTAGAGATCACCACTAAGCATAGCTTTTCTACATTTCTTAATGAATGATTAATGAGGGGAAAAACATATATTGCAATATAATGTATGTGTGTGGTTGTTTCAACAAGCATGGATGACAAATTAAGCATATATTGTCTAAGTAACATGGTGGATAGCACAATATATCAAACTAAGCCATTAATCATTTCTTTAAGCTCACAATCCAAACACATCATAAGGTTAGAGATATATGCTACTTGCTTTCATAAGTATGGAACATCAAACTACAAGCATGGATTGTCCTCCCATTTAACATTTAAACTACAACTACATTACAATTAAGCTAATGACATGAAATTAAACTAATTAAACTAAGGGGAGGCACAATCCATCAAGAAATGAGCATGAACCATCAAATAAATCACAAGAGCATTCTATTAAGTACTATATCTTGACAATCTCTAGATCTATAGCATTAATACACATAGACATGCATCAATAACACAAGAAATAAAGACAAACACATGAACATCTATTCTAGCATACATAGACATATGGATATAATGAAATGATCAATTGGAAGCATTAAACCACACAAATCATTGAATAAACAAGATCTATATATATAAAAATGTCAAAACATGTATCACAATACAAATCCCCTAAAAAATACATAAATCAAGATGTAGAAAGCATGTTTAAGGCTAACTCTAGCCCCAAGAGGATGTCTAGCCACTCATAGATGGTGTCCTCCAACCCTCAAGGGCTAACTCCATGGTAGAGATTGCTCCTCTTCTTGGTTGATGGAAGAACTCCAAGCTTGTAGCCTCCTCCTTTCTTTTCTTCTTCACTAAGAATATGGAAAATTGTGTCTTTAGTGTATGTATCTAGTGTCAAGAATGACTTATATTCCTTATATAGGTAAGTTAAATATCACCCCCAATGAGCTGGGCTCGTACACCAATATTCCCCCCAATGATTGGATATGAGACAACTTTTAATGAGCTGGAAATTAGATTTTCTTGCACTTTGGGAAGTTCGATCGATCGAACTTGTGGTGAGATCGATTGAATATGGCTGAGATCTATCGAACTTAAGCTGGATCAATCCTTTATGGCGGTGCTTTTTTGGATAAAGACAAATCTGAGATATTTTGAAGATATTTTTGGGAAAGAGACAAATGTGGTAGGTAGGGTGGTACAACTAGATAAGATGGAATCTTTTCGATCGATCGGAAGAAAGTTGGGTCGATCGAACTTTATGGGATCTTTGGATAAGTACAAAAGAGCTTGAATCCATCTTGAAATGCTGAGATCAATGAACTTTCGATCGATTGAATATTTTCTGAGATCGATCGAACTTGCTGAATTTCCACCACTTGCTTCCTTTTCCTCCTTTCTTTGATTCATCTCAAGATTGCTTCAATTATGCTCTTATTTAGCTGAGTTAGCTTATTTTGGAGATAAGTACCTGAAAATGGAAATAATACAAAATTAATCTAAAGCGGGAAAATAAGATAGATAAAGGTTCTAGAATACTTAACTTTAAGGGGTTTAAATGCGCACTTTTCAACGCTCATCACACCCCCAAACTTAAATATTGCTAGTCCCTAGCAATGAACTAGAAAGTAAAGGTATGAAATGAACAACTATACAACTATGAACTATAAAGTAATAAATGGAGAGCGCCATTTTCGTAGGGAACACGATTACATTTAGCATATGTAACAAGCCTTTTAAACCCCTAGGTTACCCCTAATGGACGAGTAAAGTTTCGTGAGGCTTTTCAGAAATGATACTCACAAACATTAAGCTCATTCTCATAAAAGAGGCACCAACATTGCAAACAAATATTAGGAGAAAACTACATCAAGTATGCAATTTTTCAAACATTTCCAAGCAATCTCCCAAAATTTCAACATCAAACAAGCAAGTATGGTCCTTCGCACATCAAGAAAATGATCATGAAAATCAAAGCAACTCTAGAATTTTTTTTGAATGGACCGGCATCAAGTATGTTGTTATCTTAGCCAACTAAAGAAATGATCACATCTTTACCCTCAAACTAGCATACAAATCTAGTCCCGATCATCAAGACAAAGAGTGGACCTTTTATTAAAGTTTTATTGTTCTAGGTACGCTTATTCTTTTTCTTTCTTCTTTTTATTTTTTATTTTTTTATTTTTTATCTATAGGATCAAAGATGGAAGTATGGTGCAATGTGTTGATCTATTAAGCTTTCTAGCGATCCATGAGGTCGAGCGTTAGGTCAATGACTCCCAAACCAGACGGCTTTAGGGCACTAGGTGTTCAAACACTCCTAAGGACTTACAAGCTCAAATCAACTAAGCTACAAATCAAGACGACCTCCATCTAATCATTTCCCACTTCTCACCTTTTTTGGGAGAAGTCCTCATTTTTTTTATTACCTTTGCAACTCTTTTTCTTTTCTTTTTTTTTTTTTTTTTTCAAGTTCAATTATTAATCTAGAGTTTGAGCCCTCCACCTTTCGGCGCTAGAAATTCAGTACTTGATG